CCGGCTGGAGAAGCCCATCCCCAGCCAGTTCAGGCCTCACCTATTAGCACTTCTTTCCTCTCCAGGATGTTTTTCTGGGGGAGCTGCGCAGCCGAGTTCCCGGAGTCTATCGTATTGTCTATGAGGCCGGGCTCGGCGTTCTTCCCCAGCCCCGGCCCTGCTGCCGGCGTGGCCGCGGGGACCACTTCGTTATTGAGCTCCGGCCGCGTCGTGTCTCCCTCCTCGCGGATTTCAAAGTCCCCGCTGGGCCCTCCGCTGACGGGAACCTCCAGCTCGTTGTCGAGGGCTGTCTGGGGAGGGAACGAGGCAGAGGAGAAGAGAAGCCAGTGATCCAAAGGCCTGGGGAGAAGCAGTGAGGCAGGCCTGCTCTGAGCCTCCCTCTGCCTTCCCCAGCCAGAGCTCGAGTCCAACCCCATCCACGGCGGCGAGAGACCTGGGGCAGCCTGAGATGGGAGGGCTGGGGCTACAGGTGGGTAGCTTGGTCAGTCTGGCCCATCGTACAGCGCCCTGGAAACGTCCCGCCAGATCACAGGGAGCATTAGAACAACACGCACCCAGCCCTTCAAACCAGAGGGGCCTGAATCCAACCTCGCCCCTTGGAGCCCCCAGGCCCTGGACCGTTTTAGAGCTGCTCGAACCCCGGCCGACATCGGGCCCTGGATCCTGCCAACAGCTCATGGACCAGACTGAAATCTTGGCCCCGGCTCCTCCAGAACACTTGGAATTTCAGCACCTGACTTCCTGGCCTCTCCCCACTGAGGCCAAGAGCTGATCAAAAATGGAAAGACAATTTGGTGCAAAAGATCCGAAAGTGTTTCCTTATCCCGGGCTTCCAAATCAGCCATTTTTCTGGGTTAAACACAAAATATTTTTTTCTGAAACCCCCTATTTTCCTTGCTGCCACTGAGTACAACACAATGATTAATGCCCCTGGTTCCTTCCCTCCCCCCCTTTTTTCCCCTGTAATTTTTTGCAGTTTCTCCAACTTGCCAAAGTAACTGAGTAACAAGGAGGAAAAAACGCTGAAACGCAGACACTGAGGGCAGGGCTGCACTATGGAACCACGTCAACCTAATTTACACAACTCCAGCGACGCGTCACTGTCCCTGGAGCTGACATACCTCACGCCGGGTTACCATGGGGTCTCCACTGCGGGAGAAACTCTCCCTTTGAATTCCCTTACGCGTCTCGTTCAGTGAAGATTCGGTGTTGACAAGGGAATGATAGGCAGGCCAGCCTGCCCGCCAGCTCCCTGTGGGCCC